TTATTTAAATGACTGTCAAATTCTAAATACAAAATTTAATGTTTTTCTTTTACTATTTTTTGTAGAAAATTTTCTAAATTAAACATTCTTAAAAATTTAGGAATTTCTATCAAATCCATTTGTTTATTTATTTATTTTTTAATGAAAATTATTATTATACCTAACTAAAACACTTCCAGAATTATTTTTCGAAATTTTTTCTTTTACAATTTTAAAATTATATATATATTCTATAAACCATGATAATTGGTGATGTAACTAAAAAAATTGAAATATGAGAATAAAGATAAATATCTATCCAACGTAATCAGAAAATATAAATAAAACGAATACTTGATGTTCATGTGCTGTACATATTATTGTATAATTATTAATGCTAAACGATAATCAAATATCGATATTTAGGAATAAATTTATATAATTGAACAAAAATATAATGAAACATATAATGAAACAAGATGGAAATCTTAAAATTTTTTTAAATATACATATTGTGAGTTATATCAAACATATATCTATTTATATATCTATATCTAATCCTCTCGTTGGATTAATTATATATATATATTTACATGTATATAGTATGATGTCTATATATGTATATATAGATATATATATCAGACAATTCTGATTATTATCAAATTACATGCAAACTATTTACGAACAATATCTATCAATCCTAAAGAACATTTATATTTATTTATTTTTTAAATAAAATAAATATATCAATGTATCGCTTTTTAATAAAATAATTTAAAATAAATTATTAAGAATATAATTTTAAGTAAAATTCTTTTTTCTTTATATATAATTGATAATTGTTTTCAGTTTTCGAATTATATATATATATTATATTTTTTAATATATTTTATTATTTGCTCTAATATAAGTAATTATCTTGCTATTGTTATTTAGCATAATATACTGTATCAAAAATAGCAATCTACATCTAGACTATCATTCAATAAATCATTTTGATTGAAATAATTGAGTTCGATTGTGATTAGATTGTGATTGCCAAACGATATAGAAATCATGGGAAAATAGAGAACCATGGGAAAATCAAATTTACCGATCCAAATATATAAAATATATAAAATCAAATTAAATTTTCCCGTGGATTTTGTATATGTGTTTATATTTTGTATATATATGTGCATATTGAATATTATATTTAATTATTTATTCATTGTTTATAATATAATTCGATATAAATTCGATATTTTTAATAAAAAAATATTTCTTATATTCTATAATATATTTTCTTAGATATATGTTGCTTGGACTCGATTGACAATACGTAACTAACACTATTGTCGTGATTGGCCGGTATTCTTGATTAAATTCATTAAATCAAAAAGAGTAATGAAAGTTTTTGCAAGAGAAAATATGCTTATAATTATTTTATCTCCAATTTAGGAATATTCTAATATTTTTAGAACACTTTGTATATTATCTGGAAATAATATTTTATATATGTTTTTTTTTTCATGTCAAATTTTATATTGAAAAATTGAACATAATTTTCTATATTGCAAATTATATTCTACAAAATATGTGAAAAACTATTATATAATAATTATATAATAGATATAATAATTTATAAAAATGATTTATTTTTAAATAAAAATGTCGTAAAATATTTTTAAAAAGTTTATTTATTTAAACAATAATAAAAATTAGTATATTTGTATTAATTATATTATAAAATATTATATTATAAAATTTTAATTTTTTATATTATAATTAAAATTATTTCATTTGGTTTCTCTTCTATTTTAGAAAGTTTGTTTTATTTAAATATAAA